CCCTGGCCGCAGTTTAGTCTTGCAGCATCCCAGCCCGACCTGCCCCCCAAGGTTGATTTGAGGATAGAAACAGGCGGGTGGGTGGAGGGGAGGTAGGTTGCTTTGATCTGATTAGAGGAAAGGCACAATCTAGGTGTCCCAAGTAAAAATCCAATCGAAATCAATAACCCTCCTACGGTTCATAGAATCATGGCATGGTATGTTATGTGCTGTCAAGTCAGCAATGACCTATAGCCATCCAGAGGGCTTTTAAGAAAAGTGAGATATTTAAGGAGTAGTTTTACTAGTTCCACGCCCTCCCCTAGAGAAACCCCCTTGCCTTCTGAGAAACCGAGGCATCGAGTGAAACTGTCAGAATGAATCTCGTCCATTATTACTTCAGGCTTTGCTGCTCCTTTCTTTCCTCGCTCCTTTCTGGGAGGTCGTGGTGATGAGCCCACCAAGATTATAGAAACATTTCTCATCCCCGGAAGCCACCACTCTGGTCTGTGAAGGAACCTCATGTATAGAGGCCACCATCATCCCATCGTCCGATCAATCACAGAGCTGAGTGGTGTCCTTGGAACCCCTCAGAGGCTGCCCCGATGTTCCATAGAGCCCAGGAGAGCCTTTCTTAGGGAGAGCCACAGAGATCTACAGAGGCCACCTCGCCTTCTGAGAAACCAAGGAGTTGGGTGAAACTCTCAGAACGAATCTCATCACAGAATGGGGAGGAATTGTGCATGTTTCTGTTATTCCTTACACTTTCCTGCTCCTTTCCTCACTCCTGTTATGTCACAAATTACAGGGCAGGATCTTCCCATTTTGTCTCTTCTTTTGTTTGTTCATTTATTCAATGTCAGTTCATAGCCCTCTAGTTCTAGACCTGGTGTCTGTCAACACAGGACATGGTGGACCAAATTACTGCACATGGATGAAGATGCCATAGTCCTGTGCCATGTAGATTAATGAATGACCAGAGGCAAAGATAGAGAGGGGCCCTTTATAACCACTCGGGTTTCCCCGTTCAGATACAGCCTGAGTTCCCAGTGCTTCCAGACTCACCATGTTGAAGTTCCTGGTCCTCATTGTGGCGTTGGTTATCACCACAGGTGAGTGAAGACGAAATTCCAAACTCTGTTCTTCAGGACGAGGGGACTGGTTTTATTGCAAACCAAAACTAAACTGTTTTAATCAAGCTTATTGCTGCCCTGTTTTATCCAGAAGGAAAAGCAGCCAACGGCCAGCATGGATTTCAGATCACGCGCAAACTCTCTTCCTCCTTTAGTGACCTTTTTGATGAATTCCCTGGATCTTGATTGTTTCACATTCACCCAAGCTAAGTCGCCAGGTATAGATCTGGTGAGATCTGGATCATCACTTTCAGGTGATCAGGAGATCAAAGGAGATCAGCCACTCCTTTCCGAATTGCAAACCTACACGGAAATATACAGGCCGGTGAAGTCTTGTTACATCTCCCCATTTGTGCACATCCTCGTGCAATAAGGCTAATCGAAGTGCATGTTAATGCACTAATGCACTATTAATTCTGATAATGGTTCAGCGTTTTCATAAGTTGAGGGGGTTGTATGACCTAATAGAGTCTCGTGGGATGAGCAAAGAGAATGTAGCCTTTCCCCAGTGGAAAAAGTAGAAAGAAAGATTGGAGGCAGCTGTCGAGGGAGTTCTAGATTGTATGTCTTGACAGCTACACAATCGGACTGATCCTTGATGGCTGCACAGATGTGGACATTGCCCTAGGTTTGTGTTAACGTCCAAGAAACGCTAAAGAAGGCATGCATTTTTCCTAACAAGGGCTAAGCACTGGCCACTCTTTGTTGCTTTTAGCGGGTAACACAATTTGCAGGCTGTTTTTATATCTCAGGATCCCAGGCTGCTGAAGATCCAGGTGAAGTTTCAAAAGAGGAGAAATGGAGCTCCTATGTGGTTCAAATTTACTACTGGGCAATAGACAAAGTGCTCACATTTTCAGAAACAAAGACTGGCCGGACTTTGTTGTAAGTAAATCCATTATGCGTGTAATAGCTACCCTGCACAGTTCTAGCATTTGGGTTCCACTTTAGCTACCTGGATTCTATCCTGAGAAATTGTGGGATTGGTCATTGGGTGATGGGTGTAGAGGTCTCTGCTGTGGTTCAAAGGAGAGCCTAGAGTGCTTTAGCCGAGACGTCCAGGTGCCTCACCAAACTACAGCTCCCAGGATTCCATTGCAGGAATCTCTAGGTTAGAATGGCACAGAGATGTTGCAATCTAAATACTCTCACAGCCGACATACCTTGCACTGAAACTGACAAATGGCCCCATAAGGGCTCGATCACATGTCTGAAAAGAACCCCAGTTATACTGATTATTTTCACCCCCTCTTAAAACGGTACATTTTTCCCAGTTGTCTCATGGTATATACATTGGTGGCAGTGTTTACATTGTTTTTAATTGCATCAATTCATTTCTTTTTACTTGAGCCATTATACGTAGCAGGCTGTGCTGCTCTTTAATTTTGTATCGATTCATTTTCTCTATTGTTTCTTGGGGCAATCCGGGCCCCCTTGTCCTTTAAAAAAAGTGTTACATCGACAATGCAATAAGAGAAGTCTGAGCCTTCTCTCCTCCTCCCCTTTTCCCTTCCCTCCTTTACGCACTCATCTCCTTTTCCTTATTTCCCTGCATATCTCTCCCTCTCAGTTCTTGGCTTTCATTTTTCTTTTCCCTTTTACACAGCATCAGGAGGAGGAAGGTTTTTTAAAAAGACTTGCAAAATATTGTGAAGAGCGGGATTTTAAAATAAGAGAGAGGAGGCCTTCATACAATACCCCTTTCTTTAAAATTTAAAGCAGGAAGTGTTCCTTTCTTGGCTTAAGCCCTCTTTCACCCAGAAGAGAGGGGGAGAAGGCTGCCTGCTTCAGAGCAATGTTAGTGGAAATAGCAGCTACTAGCCATTTACCAATATCTCTTTAAAAAAAAAAAATTAGAAGGCTACAAGCGCAGGGACCACTTCACAAAGGAAATAAATTGACAGCAAAGTTCACACATGCTGAAATGATAAGGAATGAAACAATTCATCATTGGTACAATTGAAAACCACTCTTCCTGAGAAGTAGAAATAAACTGATTGTTGGGGGAAATTATTTAAGCCGCCTATTAAGGAGAAAGGCAGCATAAAAAAAATTTAAGTAAAAAAAATAATGAATAAATTGATGTCAGCCATGCCTCCTGTGAATGGCAAATTACTGAAATGATCCAAATAACAGCCCAAACGGTATAACTGGGGATCTTTTCATAGGTGTGATTGAGCCATCATTTAGGATCTCCTGGTTGGAATATTGAAATATGCTGGCTTAATACCGTATTTTTTCGCTCCATAAGACGCACCTCTCCATAAGACGTACCAAATTTTTAGGCGAAGAAAACAGGTAAAAATAATCTGGGAATTTTGCTCCATAAAACGCATACACTTTTCCCCCAATTTCTTTTGGAAAAAAAATGAGTCTTATGGTGTGAAAAATACAGTAACTTCCTAACTATGCGGCGCATAAAATTCAGGGACCCACGGAGAAGAATTAGCTTCAAGTCTTCCACAGTGGACTACTCCGTATTAGCTAGTTTAACTCATCTGGCCCTTGCTGTCTCAATAATTCACTCGGACTTTTGCTTTCAACCACAGCTTAAATTGAGTCAAGCTGCATGTTGTATCACTGGATGATCCCTTTCCACCTGTTTTTCCTTCATTCCTCAGAGAGCTGTCTTATAATGTCAGCCAGCGCTTGGATGACCTTCAGCAAGAGTTTCCACCAGATATCCAACAAACTTTGGAGCTGGTGGGTGAACTAGCAGGAGCTATTTGGCGGAAATCTAATCATGCTGCAGAGGAACTGTACCGCAGACAGGACCTTGGTGAGCCACTGGCATCTGTAATGTCACATTATTTTGACCCAGTCCGTGAGATGGTCGAAATATGCTTAGAGCCCTTCCGACCCACCCTGGATTACATGTTGAACGAGAAGCTGCCCAAGGAGCTCAATATCCTGGACGCTCCTTTCTCCTTTTACTTCAAGCGACTGCAAGACACTCAGACGTCCCTCCAACCCTTTGCCAACCAAGTGCACACCTATTTCAGACAAATGGTGGAGGCTCTTCACAAGAACCTGAAGCCTTACCTGAGACCCATTCTGGACGAGAGTGAAAAATACAAAATGGAGGCCAGGGAGTGGTCTCTCACCTCTATCTTTCCCCCCAACACATGACCTCCCCCCGTGATTAATGGAGGGAGGATAGATTAGTGATCTCTAAAGTAATCAGTGTGAAAGGGGTCACTGAAATAATGTTGTGGGTGGTAATTGCAAATGACCCTTTCCAGCCGATATAATAAAGGATAGTCAACAACTCCTGGAAAACCGTTGTGCTATGTTGTGTCTCTTTCTCTTTCATTATCTAGATTACAATTAAAGGATTTATTTGTATGTGGCTAGACCTTCTGCCGGTTCTTGTCTTCCATCCTGAAATCTTACACTGACTGAAGACTGGTATCCATTACAGCATTGGTTCCCATACCTTGGGCCTCCAGATGTTCTTGGACTTCAACTCCCAGAAGTCCTGGCCAGCAGATGTGGTGGTGAAGGCTTCTGGGAGTTGTAGTCCAAGAACATCTGGAGGCCCAAGGTTGGGGACCACTGCCTTACAGGATGTCCCCCAGTATTAGTGTATTGCCAGACACAGCTCTGTAGCTGACGGCAGTCTCCACACACATGTACCTGGGAGGGTGTGTGTGTCTATATTCTTCAGAATTGCCCAATCACCCTTTTTCTGGGCTGTTATGGTTAGAATGGTGGGCTCACAAGACCTGAGTTCAAATCCACATTGAGCCTCGACGCTCACTGGCCACACCTTCGTCTCTACCTCCCAAAGTTGTTTTGAGTGCAGAAAGAGGGGGAGTGAGGACAGCCAACTAGGCTCCTTTGAGTTTCGTTTGGAGGAAAGGCACAATATATGCGCCCCGTTAAGAAGCCAATCAATATTGGGAAGCCAGTTACGGTATTTAAAAGTTGTGTTCACAAAAGAGATAGCAGTGGGACAGTTCTCCACTGTTGTATTTGCCTAGTTTATAAGGGTATATTAGGCTCTTCCTTCCCAACAAGACCATACCTGTCCTCATTCTCTCATTTCTGCTTTTTATGGTCAATTTAGACCCATTGCTAATTGCCAGTGAATGTTCATTGATATATAACTAGCAGCATCATGACACAGAGGATGGATAAATGTATGAGAGAGAGTTTAACTCCCAAAATGGCTGAAGACTCAAAATGCAGACCTCTGCTTAATCTCATCTCGTGAAGCACAATTTCGTGTGTCTCCTGGGATCCCCAATCTCTCAAGGGCTGGGAAATCCCATTTACAGTGAAATTTCCCATCTCTAGGCACAGGCTGCTCTCTTTCCCTCAATGCCTCTCCTCATCATATAATAAATGACAGCTGAGGGGCCAAGGGGGAGCCTAGGACAGGCTTGAAGGCTTTGCTTGCATATTCTTAACCCGCAGCCCTGAATATGGAGATAAACAGTTTCTGGTTCCATCTAGTGGCCAGTTCTGATATTGCAAATACAAAAATATCAAAGGAAGAAAAAAGAGTATACTGTATATCCTGCCACATAAGATTGGCCGGGTAGGTGGGACTCGTCAGCCCTGGAAGGCAGCCCATCTAGGAGAAGGAAAACTCCAAATTTAAACCTCCACTGCCTTGTGGCTATATCCACTTATGGAAAGGGCTTCAGAGTTCTGATATTGCAAATACAAAAATATCAAAGGAAGAAAAAAGAGTATAGTGTACAGTATATCCTGCCATGTAAGATTAGTATTAAAATGCCATCTTATGTTATGGGCTGCCAAGTCAGCACTAATTTATAGCCCACTGCCTTGTGGCTATATCCACTTATGGAAAGGGCTTCAGGAGATAACCTCGAGGCAAAATCCGGAGCCGGAGTCCCGGAGGCATTTTCTTTCATTCTGCCAACTCCTGCGACGTTGCTGGAACCAGTTGTATTGGCTCTTGCCTTTCCACTGGACCATTTCAGCAATGTGGAGAGGGGGGATTTGCTGCTTGGGTAACAGCCTATCCTCCATACTATTTTACCCAGGCTTCGTGCTCTGGAGAGGACACTCCAGCTTCGCATATCGTTCAGCCTGGAGGGAGGCAGTACATCACGGCCTCTCCCAATTTGAAGAGACCCTTGTCCAGCAGGCTGAGGCAAAGAGGAAGTCACAAAGGAAGCAAAACCAGGGAGCTGGACAGGGGACAGATTGGATTTGTCTTCAGTGTGGAAGAGATTGTAACTCTCGAATTGGCCTCCTCAGCCACACTAGATGCTGTTCCAAGTCCTCCATACAGAGCACGCTACCATAGTCTTTCGAGACTGAAGGATGCCTACAAGATTGGTATTAAAATGCCATATTATGGTATAGGCTGCCAGGTCAGCACTAATTTATAGTCAGCCTGGCATTGCTTTCATGGAAAGTGAGACATTTAAGGAGTGGTTTCAAAGGGTAAACCACTTCTGAATATTTTCTATGCATCATGAGTCAGAATGGACTTGATGGCACAACATTATTATTTACTGGTTTAAATTACTCTACCCCACTACCACTGCCTGCCAGAGAGGCCATCTTCTAAGAAACCAAGGAGTTGAGTGATGTTGTCAAAAACAAAAAAATCTCATTACACAATGGGGCTGTAAGAGTGTTTTCCTTATTTCTCAGGTTTTCTTCCTCACTTCTTTCCTAACGTCCTGTCCCTCACAAAGAATAGGGCAGGACATTTCCATTTTTCTGGAAAGGTCCTGCCCTATTCTTTGTGAGGGACAGGATGGTAAAATGAACTGGGAACTCATTTTACCGACCTCGGAAGGATAGAAGGCTGAGTGAACCTTGAGCTGGCTACCTGGGATTGAACCCCAGGTCGTAAGCACAGTTTTGGCTGCAGTCCAGCTGTCCTGTATGGGTTAATGAATGACCAAAGGCAAAGATAGAAAGGGACCGTTATATCCTCTTCCAGCTTTCCCTGCTCAGATACAGCCTATGCTCCCAGTGCTTCCAGGCTCACCATGATGAGGTTCCTGGCCATCATTGTGGCGTTCGTTGTCATTACAGGTGAGTGGAGAGGAAGTTCTAAATCCTGTTCTTTGGGAAGAGGGGGCTGGCTTTCATTACAAATTTAAACTAAACTTTCTCAAAAGTGAGCTTAATGCTTCCATGTGTCATCCAGAAAATCAGAGAGCTGGACAGGGGACAGATTGTATTTGTCTTCAATGTGGAAGAGATTGTCCCTCTCGAATTGGCCTCTTCAGCCACACTAGACGCTGTTCCAAGTCCTCCATACAGAGCACGATACTGGGTTGAAGAGATGCTGCAAGATTACGCAGGGATCGAACTGGAAATGGTAAAGGGCAGTCTTTGCTCCTGTTGTTCTCGTATGCAGGAGTGTGTGTGTGTGTGTGTGTGTGTGTGTGTGTGTGTGTGTGTGAGAGAGAGAGAGAGAGAGAGAGAGAGAGAGAGACTGGAAGACAGACAGAGAGACACTTTCACCTTAGCTGCCCCCCTCATTCTGGGAGGGCCTGCCACTTAACCCATGAGGAAATTGGCCAGCTCATCTGCCTTGCTGGAGGCCCATCTTGTTTGCATAAGCAAAGTCTGCACTGTAAATATATGCTTTCAGGCTAATAGCCAAGGCCTCCTCAGCCATACTAGATGCTGTTCCAAGTCCTCCGTACAGAGCACGTTACCATAGTCTCTCGAGACTGAAGGATGCCTAATCTCAGGTTGCCACATTCACATATGGAAAGTCACAAGGTTTAGATACACTTGTGGGTGGAATCTGGATTGTCACATTCACCCAGTTTATAAGGTAGATCAGCCACTCCCTTTCTGGTTCCAAGTTACAAACTTTGTCAAGGCGTCCCCATCGGGGCTTAGTTATTAGAGTGATCCACTGGGTTGAAGAGATCATGATTAAATAATAGGCAGTAACCATTCCATCCTTCTGACACAGAGCCCGCGCTGGAAAGGTGGGGTGGGAGATTCTCCCAGTCAGGATCCCTCCTAGAATGATCTCCCACCTCCAGCCATGAGCAAAGCTGGAGAGGGTGCAAGCAAGAGAAAGCCGCAGGCCATCCCTTTCGCCCTCTCTAGTCACCACAACAGGGAAGAGCTGAAACATTAGCCTGCTTTTTTAAAAAAAAGCATATTTAACACAAAGTTTAGCTCGAAGCACGAAAAAAAACAACCAGATTCTCACAACAAGTGCAGAATGATGTGTCAATACTGCAATTAATTTGGATAGGTCAGGGGTTTCGGTCTCTGGCTGCGGAGCCAGACGTTGGGAGTTCGATTCCCCCACTGGGCCTCCTTGTCAAGGGCTGGACTTGATGATCCATAGGGTCCCTTCCAGCTCTGCAGTTCAAAGAACATACGGAGATGAATTCCATTCCTTGGTATATTGTACATGCCAAAACGACACAGGATGGAAAATGCACTGTTGACACCCATGCGTGTTTGTTGTCGTGGCCTACTGAAACAGGCCTTTAAAATGGGCTTATATGCAGACGAGCAAGGCCATGGAACAACTCGGTGATCAAGATTCAATTTGGGTGCTTAAATACACAAGCTAGACTTGAAGACAACAGCATCACAAAAAAAGGGAGTAAAACAACACAATTGGATGTCTCCTTGCTGGGTTCCGTTGCCCTCTTGCGCTAAAGACATGATACAGTTGCAGGAAAATGGATGGAGCACATCTGGAGCCACATCAGCACCACTGAAGGGAGTTGAAAGCTCTCCGTTTGGGGAAGGAAGCAGATGGTGCTGGGCAATTAATTAGTGACGTCCTTCTTCCCATTCCAGGGCTGGACGGATGCTTATTCAAGACAAGCTGTTTTGCAAGTGGGAGAAGCGGGTGGCCACCAGCCTGCATCGACTGATATTGATGCAGGGTTGCTGTAATGCATGAAATTTTTCTAAATATGAACTCAGAGGTGGCCTTGCCTGCATACGGGCAATTGATCTGCATGTGTATGCACGAATGAAGGGTACAATGCATTAATCCTGATAACTAATCATAGTTTTAATAAATAATTAGGGGGGAACTTTAGGAAGTAAAGGAGTCATGTGGGATGAGCAAAGAGAGAGCATAGTGGAACATGCACAGGGGAAATTGGATGTAGGTGTCTTCAGAGTTCCAGATAACAGGTCTTAACGGCTGCACCATCAGGCTAATCTTTGATGGCCGCATGTCTCCGTGAAATGTAAGGAAAAATTAAGGAAGGCATCCATCTTTCCCAACAAGGGCTAAGGATCGGCAGCTCCTTGCTCGACCAATCAACTCTCCTACGGCTCACTGTCTTTCGTGGACCACACAATGTGCCGGCTGGTTTTGTCTTCCAGGATCCCAGGCTTCTGATGATGAAAGCCGAATTCCAAGAGTGGAGGAACTGCTCAGATACTGGTTTGGTTTGCCCACGGCATCAGATTTCATATGGGACAACTTTAGCGAATCAAAGACTGGGCAGGAATTGTCGTAAGTAAATCTGTTATTTGTGTCATCGCTACAGTGTACAGTTCTAGCGGTCGGATTCCACTTGAACTACCAGGGTGCTATCCTGTGAGGTTTTTCGAATTTGTCATTTGGTATACAAGTATCTACAGGGACGTGGTGGCGCTGCGGGTTAAACCGCAGAAGCCTGTGCTGCAGGGTCAGAAGACCAGCAGTCGTAAGATTGAATCCACGCAACGGAGTGAGCGCCCGTCGCTTGTCCCAGCTCCTGCCAGCCTACCGGTTCAAAAGCATGCAAATGCAAGTAGATAAATAGGGACCACTTCGGTGGGAAGGTAACAGCGTTCCGTGTCTAAGTCGCACTGGCCATGTGACCACGGAAGATTGTCTCCGGACAACTGCTGGCTCTATGGCTTGGAAACGGGGATGAGCACCGCCCCCTGGAGTCGAACACGACTGGACAAAAATTGTCAAGGAGAACCTTTACCTTTACTTTTACTTTTACCTTTACCTTTACCTATACAAGTATCTGCTTTGGTTCAAGAGCGGGCCCTGGACAGCTCTAGCCAAGAATTGAAGATCCCCAACCCAACTACAGCTCCAATGATTCAGTGGGAGAAATCTCTATGCTATAATGGCATACAGATCTTGCATTCCAAATATCTTCACAACTGAGTTTCCTTACCTTAAATCTGACCAATGGCCCTTCTAAATTAGGACCATCCTAGTGGCCTCCCGTGTCCTGCTCTTCTCCAGGGAATTTGGGTTAAGCTTCCCATAAGGCGTATAGTGAGCGATGGGTGATTCCAGCTTGAGGGCACCAAACTCATCTACTCATTGATGTTGATGAGTGGTACCCCTCCAAGATTTTGTACCTGGCGGTGCAGTGGATCAAAACTAAGAGCCTTTCACTGTCAAATCGCAGCTTAGTTTGGGTCAAGCCACATGTTGTACCACTGAATGGCAACTTTCCTCGTGTTTTTTCCCTTCTTCCCTCTTCTTCTGCAGAGGCCTGTTCCATAATGCAAGCCAACAATTTCATAAATTTGACCGAGAGATTCCATCGGAGCTCACAGAACCCTTACATCTCGTGAGTGCTGTATATACAGGTGTTATGCTGAAAGCTTATAGCGCTGTAACTGAGCTGAGAGACCAGCAGAAACTTCAAGAACCACTGATAAACCTACTGGCGTATTATGTGGAACCCGTCCTGGAGAGGATGGAACCATATTTTGAGTCCTTCGGACCGATGCTCAATGACGAACTGAGATACATTCATGAGAAATTGCCGGAGTATTTTAAACCTCTTGACGATGGGCTCTTCTTCTACCTCAAGAAGTTGGAAGACGCTAAACCGACCCTCCAAGACGCCGCCGACCAAACGCTGACTCGTTTCATACAAGGGCTGGAGGCTCTTCACAAGAACCTGAATCCTTACCTGAAACCCCTTCTGGAGGAGAGCAAAAAACACGAAACAGAGTTTAGGGATTGGGTTCACGCCTCCATATTTCCCTCAGACTCGTGATTTTTTTTTTTCATGAGTAAGGGGGAGTGATGCATTGTGGATCTTTAAGAAAATCGGTGTGGAAGGGGTCACTAAAATGATGTGGTGGGCAGTAATTTGTAAACTCCCCGCCTGGTGATATAATAAAGGAGACATTTTTAAAAACGGCTAGCCAACCACTGTTTTACGTTGTCTTTCTTTTTCCTTCGTTATCCAGATAATAGTGTTGATTAAAGGGTTGATTTGTACATGTCTCGGCTTACTCTCAGTTCCTGTCTTCCATCCTAAAATCTTACACTGACTGAAGACTCGAACCCATAACCAGATGCCCCCCAGTATCAGCATGTCGTCAGATATAGCTCGCTTGCGGACACAACCTCCACACACATGTAGCTGAGAGGGAGGCCTACATCCTTAAGAATGCCCAGTCAACCATTTCTAATCACTCCCAGAGCCCTGCTCTCTTCCCGCTCATCTAGCCACTCGGCACCGTGCAGGGAGACTCGTCCTCCCTCCCCCTGCCTGGAGTGGCTAGATGAGCAGAAGGCTGGGCGAGGCTGCCGTCACTGCTGGATGCATGAGTGGATGGTCCAGTCCCATACCCGAATACGGATACCTCCATCTCTCACACACATTCTTAACCCACAGCCCAGAATCATTGAGATTAAATACTCTCTGGTTCCACCTAGTGGCCAATTTTGATATTGCACCTTGCAAATACTGACAAAAAATATCAAAAGAAGGAAGAACACATATATTGCCACATAAGATTGCTATTAAAATGTCATGTTATGTTATGCGCCGTGGAGTCAGCACTAATTTATCGCCAACCTGATGATGCTTTCAAGGAAAGTGAAATAATTAAGGAGTCGTTTTGAATGGTGAACCACTTCTCAATATTATCTGCCAGAAAGGGTCACCAAGAGCCAGAATTAACTTGATGGCACAAATATGTTATTATTATTTACCAATTTAAACTATTCCCTCCTCCAGAGAGGCCACCTTGCCTTCTTAGAAATCAGGGGGTTGAGTGATAACGTCAGAACGTATTTCATCACAGAATGGGGAGGAAGACGTGCTTCCGTTATTCCTGAGGCTGTCCTGATCTCTTAAGCCCATGTGAGTTAAGTTAATGAATGGCTGAAGGCAAAGATAGAAAGGGACCATTTGATCCCCTTCCAGCTTTCCCTGTTCAGATACAGCCTGCGCTCCCAGTCCTTCCAGACACACCATGATAAACGTCCTGGCCATAATTGTGGCATTGGTTATGTCCCGTTATGTCCAGGGCAGGATCTTTCCGTTTTTGTCTCTTGTTTGTTCATTTATTCAATGTCAGTTCATAGACCTCTGGTTCTAGACCTGGTGTCTGTCAACACAGGACATGGTGGACAAAATTACTGCACATGGATGAAGATGCCATAGTCCTGTGCCACGTGGGTTAATGAATGATCAGAGGCAAAGATAGAGAAAGGGCCCTTTATCCCCACCTGGGTTTCTCCGTTCAGATACAGCCTGAATTCCCAGTGCTTCCAGACTCACCATGATGAAGTTCCTGGTCCTCATTGTGGCGTTGGTTATCACCACAGGTGAGTGGAGAGGAAATTCCAAACTCTTTTCTACAGGACCATGGGACTGGTTTTCATTGCAAACTAAAACTAAACCATTTTAAAATCAAGCTTACTGCTGCCCCAATTTATCCAGAAGGGAAAGCAGCCGACGGCCAGCATGCATTTCAGATGATGAGCGATCTCTCTTCCTCCTTTAGTGACCTTTTTCACGAAATTCCCTGGATCTTGGTGGTTTCACATTCACGAGATCAAGGTCGCTAGGTTTTCGATACACCTGCGTGTGAGATCTGGATCCTCCCCTTCACCCTATTTGCAAGGAAGATTAGTCACTCTTTCCAAATGACAAACCTCACTGGAAATTTTCTCCCGACGTTTTTCCAAGTTAGCAAAACGTTACCAACATTTCAATGCAAGACTTTCAACATTAGCCATGTAACGGTGGCGAACCACTAGGTTGAAAGAGATTGTGCAGAAATCCAGTTGTAAACTCACACATTGTAAACAGTGCAGTCTCTCCTCTTGATTCCTCCTCCATGCAGGAGAGATATGGTGTTTATGTGGGTGGGTGTGAGATCGAAAAACACTTGGAATTACTCTGGAATCTTCTTTTCTGTGTGACAGGTGGGGAAATACAGAGGGAGCTGAAGACATTACATCTCATTTCAGCATTTTTCTTGTGATGGCAGGATGTAAGAGGATCTGACGTAGATGTCCCTTTTCTCAAATGACACTGAATCTCAAGATGCTAGTCTGAAAGTCAATTGCAGTACAACAGTTCCAAATATTAAAAACTGTTTCTTGATACTGTATAGTAGAGAGTTGACACAGGATTCTTCCAGATGGTATATCTGTTTTCCAGACCTACTGTATACCTATTGATATTTTCCATGTGATCCATAGGGTGTTAAGTTTATCTCATTTAGTGTACTGCTTTTTAAAACACACACACACAACATGTCTTCCCTCCTTTCTGTCCCGGCGGAAAGCACAATCTGTGTTGAATGTTGTTTTATTGCAAGAGGGTGAAATTAAGAGCTATGGCACTTCCTTTTGAAGTGAATGCAGTGGCAACGTCCAGGTAGGAAACGTTCAGTTGGCGTTAAAAAGAACAGCAGCAAAAGCTTCAGCACGGAATCTCAGGCAGAGTAGTGGATTTCTGTATTTTGTACGGATTTTGGTAACATTTTCATAAGGAGGAATAGCCTTCAAAATGAGAAGAGAAACTGATGTTTAAAGATATGTTCAGGTGCAAATCCGAGTTTGATTTTACACTCCTTCCTTTCCTTTCCTTCTTTCATTTCCTTCTTCCCTTCCCTCTTCCCTCTTCCCTCTTCCCTCTTCCCTCTTCCCTCTTCCTTCCTTCCTTCCTTCCTTCCTTCCTTCCTTCCTTCCTTCCTTCCTTCCTTCCTTCCTTCCTTCCTTCCTTCTATCCATCATCAGCTCTTTTCTTCTTTTCTTCCCCTTCCCCTTCCCCTTTTCCCCTGCCTGCCTGCCTCTGCTTGGAGATCTCTTCCGAGAGACAGCCCATCACCCCTGAGATAACTAATCCCAAAATCCAATTGATCTTAATTGCTCTTTTTTTCAATACTGTATTCAAATGGACCTCAACCTGTATTGCTTTAGGGTAGCGGTAAGGCATTTCAAAAATGGATTTTCCGGCTGACATTAATTCCATAAGGGTAATTGAGCTTCATGTTAATGCATAAGCACACAAATAATTCTGATTCGTGTGTTCGTGGTTTTCAACAATCATTTGGGGAGATTCTACGAAACCATAAAGTCCCATGGGACGGGCAAAGAGAATGTAACCTTCAACCAGTGGAACAGGAAGAAAGAAAAAAGGGAGGCAGATTTCCAGAATATAAGTGTCAACAGCTGAACAATCAGGTTAATCCTTGATGGTTGGACAGACATGGAGATTGCCCTAGGGCTCGGTTGAATTCCAGGAAACTTTAAGGAAGTTGTGCATTTTTCCAAATGAGAGCTAAGAATTCATAGCCCCTTGTTGGACAAAAGAACCATCCGATGCCTTTAGTGGGCAAGACAATTTGCAGGCTGTTTCTATCTTCCAGGATCCCGGGCTTCCGCAGCACCAGAGCGAGTTTCAAAGGTGAAGGAATTGAGGGATTCCTTCAAGGGACTTCCAATGTTATCCATAGTCATCTGGGGTATGGCAGACAGAAGCAAGACAGCCCCGGAATTGTCGTAAGCAAATCCATTACTGTATATGTTTAATAGCTACTGGCATTGTTGTCGGCATATTACACCAACAGTTTCAGCCACTAGCGGGAGTACATCCATTTTCTGTCTCTTTTATTTAGGTACACAAAACAAGCACCAATTACATCTCTTGTCCTTACCTGTGGCCTGATCCTTTGTGACCCCCAGAATACTTTTCTTAGTGGAGTGCCTTCAGGAACTTTCAGTTGTACCTCGACATAGTCAGAAACTTGTTTGTGAAACTGGTGAAATATATAGGTTTGCTGGCAAATCAGTGAGGAATGAATGTCTGCTTCATGAGGTGGTCCTTCTGGGTGTGAAATATTGCTTTGGCACCACTGTAGTTCACTTAAAATTTCCAGTAGCTCCAAATGTGCTGGTTATTTCTTTGTCAAGAAGATGGGAACCCAATATCCTGGCTCTGCTCCAGCCTTGAAATAAATGTAAGGGACCATAAACATGATGCTCTAATGATTATAAGTAATGTTTCACCCTGATGATATGAAACGTTGGTTCTCTTCAGTTGGCTCTGTTCGTTTACACAAAAACCAGCAGAACTCTGGCTAATAGTGTGCTTGGGCAGGGTAGAACAGATGGAACCTGTCCTTGGCCAACCAAACTTTTATGTATACATGTCCCAAAATGTTAAAAGCCATGCTGAGAGCATAGACTCCTCCAAGATTCACTTTTCATGCTGTAAGGAAGAGTATTGACAAACCAGTCTGAGCATTTCAAGGAAGCTCAAGAATCATTGATCAGAAACTGGTTGACAGGAAGTTCCAGACAGGGCCAGTATTGCTGTAGAAAAGCCACACTCAGCTATGCCCAACCTTGTGCAATTATATTTCCATTTACACATTGGCGTTCACCTTTCTTCCCCCCCCCCACACTCCCATGTGTTTCCCCATTGGCATATTCCTTTTAGTTGTCAGAATTCTAAACATAGCCCATGGTATATGGTAAATTACACTCTGTGTTTCTTTGGTGGTCATGATGCATTGTCAAACATGTTTTTCTTTGTTATCTGTATTGTTAACTTTATTTGCAAAATAACATTCCTGAGAGGAATTTACAGGGAAGAAAAAGAGGGAAGGGATATTCTTCAGCAAGTAATGCTCATACTACAGAGACTGATTTTTTTTCTTTTTCTTTAGAGCATCTCTTATCCTAAATTCAGCTAGTGCTCTGATGGAGAGCCCTGCTTTTATGTATTTCAGACATTTGTTCTTAAATTGTGGCCCCATCTCTTCTACCTCCACCCTCCCATCCATTTGTCATTGTATCTATAAATTGTTCTGAAAGAGATGAGGGGAAGAAGAAGTACAGAACACACTTTGTGAGGATTGTTTTGATAATTCTTTGTCAGATTGGTTTACTGTTGCTTGCCA